TAGTTCACCCATCTTATTAGTCAGACTCCTAGAGGTTGTGCTTGACACTCCAGAGCAGCATCTGGTCCTGTTTTAGAAGAGCTGGATCAGTGGTCTGACTCCTGAACCCTTGTGTCTCGGGAACCGAGTGCCCAGGCCAGTCCTCATCTGCCCGCTCTGGAAGGAGAAATGATGGGCCAGACCCTGTGGGAGGGAAACTACCTTCTCATACTGCTGCCATGGGTGCTGTGTATAGAAAGGGAGGCTCTGCCTCCCCTGGGACCGAATGCCCAAATTGCTGCCTCTTCCTATCCCTATTCTGCGGGCTCCCCCAGCTGGCTGCTGCGCCTGGTGAATAGGAGGGGGATCTAGTATCTTACAAGTGGAAAAGCCATTCAAGTGGTAATGAAGCTATTTAACAGGCATTTGCTAACCCCCAGGTATATACTGTCAGTTTCTGAATTGACTGATAAACTGTGGTGCTTTATGGTCATATTTACTCAGAACAGGTTAGTCTACAGGACCTTAGTTTAAAATCCACATTCAAAATATTCCATTAGTTTGATGCCAAATATGATGATAAAATAACATCTGTTTTTAAAAAAAAAAAAAACTTGGATAGATTTTTCAGACGCATAAACCTCTGTGACTGCTTTAAAATGTCTATTAGTGAGTTCAATATGTAGTAATCTGGAATAATTAATTAATGAAGGCTTAACAGTACATTTAAAATACAAGATCTTAGAAATACTGATTAAGAAAGCATAAGACAGAAGACCTGCATCGTGTACTGTATTCCATAATATTCAATACTAGCAGACTTACCCGGCATTGCCTGGGTCCTTCAGGACAGAAAGCTGGCTGTTGGGGCTGCAGGACTCAGGGCAGGGCTTTGTGGATGTGGTGGAGGAGTTCAGGGAATGGGAGAGGTGAGGGCTGAAGAGGGATTTGGGGGGGGTCCCATATGGCATGCCCCTCCCCCAACCTCTCCAGCCACCAGGGGTCTTTTTTTCCCCCTCCCTCCCCTGGTCCCTATTTACCTTTCGTTCTCCCTCTCTCCTAGGGAGGTGGGGTGTCTTATTTTTGTTTTCCCTCTCTCTCCCCTCCCCTACACACCTTCCTCCCTGCAAGGGAGCAGGGACTCTCCAACCTCTACACACAGAGCACATGGGCCTGCTGTCCAGGCCCTGTTTTGTTCCCACTCTTCTGACTCCCTGATCACACTCTTCCCCAACAATTAGAAAACCACTTGTTCTCCCCTGACAACCAGTATACCCCAGCCCTTTGTCCCAACATCCTCATGCCCTAGGCCTCCAATAATCCCCCCTGTGTGGCCAGTTTAGCAGTTCTGTGGCTAAATGTAGCAAATGTCACCAGATCTGATTAAAAGTCACAGGAACTTACTGAGGCAAACCATGAAAAATCTCTAACAGACTGAAAACGTTGCTGGATTGAGCGACAAAATTGTTGACTGGCAACAGTCAGGTTGAGGCAGTGCCCCCCCCCAGCACCTTCCATGAGGCTCTTTTTATGACCTCAGCACGGACTGGGGATGTACAGCTCTGCTTAAATAAGCCTGGACGCTGCTGCTTGTAATATGTACTGGCAGAATCACAGAATCCTAGAGTTGGAAGAGTCCTGAGGAGGGCACGGAAGAGCTTTCTCAGCCTAGAGCACCAAATGGGAGCTCTGGAAGATGAGTAGAAATCAGGGTTCTCTCGTTTTTGGATTCTCACTAAAATTAATAGTTTTCTGCCCGTTAATATCTAGAACTTTCCCTGAAGTGCTGGAATTGATTATATTTTCGTAGGCTATCACATTACACCTCGGTAGACAGACCCTCTTCACTCAGCCTATGTGCCAGGAATCCTTCTGGGAGAAGGTCTATCTATGGTCTGTGTTCTACTAGAGCCCAGGCTAGCTAGTCACAGTGGTCCCTTCCGGCCTTGGAATCTTGGAACTTATGAAAGCTACCAACTGGTAAGCATTGCCAGGCCTGCAAATCTTCCCAGGATATCGGGGAGCTTGCACGCACGCATGTTCTACCCATACTGGCAGGTCATAAGTGGGCTTACCCGATCTGAAATCCAGGCGTACAGACTCGCTTCACCTCACTTCTCAAAAGTATATATTATTCATGTCCATTTGAAGGTGGAGCCGGTCAAAGCTACCAATGGGATCTAGATGCCTATTTGCCTACAGTAATTACTCATTTAACACATGCCCACTTAACACATTTTCGCAATAGCACGATTTTTTTTAAGGGAACATTTTTCTAATAACACGACCGTCCCTGAAATAACACGAAAATAATCAAATGGTGGACTACTTTGTGCAGTGGTATAAGTTGGTGAAAACGGTAGTAAAACTCATGAGCGGATGAATACACATGGTCACAGCGCTCCTCCGCTCATGCACGTGTTTATCTTTGTGTTTTAATGAACCGCAGTGACTTGTGTTGCTAGATATCTTGTGTTGCTAGATAGCTAATGTTGACGTTGACTACCCAACACCAACAAAAAGCTGACTTTGCTACCACCACCTGAAACGCAACCCCCACCTTTTCCATTATTTTTAATGGGAAAATTGACTCCACATAGCACGTTTCACTTAGCACGAACATTTTCAGAAACGCATCTATCGTATTAAATGAGGACTTACTGTTTTCAATTCTAATGGATGCTGGGCATCCAAATCTCTTGGTCATCTTTGCAAATTCCAGCCTGAACTTCTCCTGATGATTGATGATGATATTAATGAGTGACATACTGTATCTTCCCTTTGTTGAAGGGACACTTCTAAAATGGCTAAGATGGTCAGAAGGTCTAGCATAATAATTCTCCTTCTGTTTTCAACTCTAATCTGTTCCCTTGGTCTCTTGAGAAACCATCCGCAGCTCAGCCTAACCACACATCCAATGTGATGTCTATATTTGCTGTACAGTGTTCAGTTGCTCAGTTTGGTAGCCTATTGTGCATTTTGCTGATGTCACACTTTGCGGAAGGACACTGGAGTCTCTGATTGGCCTATAGGAATAAGGCAAGTCCTGTTGTTGAAAGCTTTGGTTTTAAAGCCTCTCATTTTATAATCCCAATGTACAAAATGGATGCATCATTAGCTTGGGAGAAGAACAAGGCACTCTCCAGTTCTCTTGAGTGGCAAATGCTCTGAGTCACCTGTTGGATTATAGAAAGCATCTGTTCCCAACTCCCTGGAGCTCAGGTTAACTCCTTTTCCTTTTGCGAAATGTCACAGAACTTGTTTGAATCCCTGCAGAGTGCAGCATGGGTCGGCTTGACGGGAAGGTAATACTGCTGTCGGCAGCAGCACAAGGAATTGGAAGAGCAGCTGCTCTAGTAAGTCTAAAAGCTTCATTATTCTTTTTCCCTTCTTAGCTCCTCTCTAGCTTTGCTATTTTGATTTAGCTCAGATACCTGTACTGAACTGTTTCATTATCAAATTGGAAATTAAATCAGAGTGAACTCCTTCAACTCTTCCATGAAAAGCACATGAAATGATGTTCTTGCTACACCACGAGAGCTTTGCTTCCATTCTCGAAAAATGCATTAATGTGTCACACTGTCAAATGCATTCAAGTGTCACACTGTCAAAATTCCTTGGTGCTCTATAAATAGCCTATGAAGGAGAACTTCATAGCTGGATTGGCTGGTGTTGGCAGCTCGCTATGAAATGCTTTTGACTTCGAAGAGAGCTTCTGCTTCTCTGGAAGGTGGCTAAGTCCTGGGTGACTTTCTTCAAACAGCTCTGCTGCTTTGTTTTGAGAAGCTTATGTCCCAAGGTTTCATGTTGTGCCAGACTCGAGGTCAGACGATTAGTAGATTCTCTCTCGAGGCAGATCCATGTGGCAACAGAGCCGGGTGGAATATGGTGGCCGTTGTGACCTTGTTAATTAAAGCAATTCAATCTCAACGTGCTCTGAATGTCATTTGATCTGTGGGAGATGAAGGGAATGTGCAGATGCCAAGCTGTTCACAAAAACATCATATAAAAAATTTCAGATCTTCTTTGAAATTTGGCCTTGATTTTTTTTTTTTAAGATTTTTTTTTTTCCCCCCCTGGAAAAAGCCTAAAGCTTTGAATATATTTTGTCTTGGCTAATTTTAAAATTAAAGATTCAGTCTGTTCTTAGCTTCTTGTCGTAATAATTTTTCATTGCTCAGTTTGGTCACAATTTGGATTTTTTTCCATGTTTAACAAAAATTAAGTGGAGAACTGGGAAAACAAGTCTGAGTCATTCTGAAAAGCAGAATGAAAAACACTTCTGATTCCCTTTCTGCTATTTTTCTCTGCTTTACTCTCCCCAGGTGGCCTCAACTGTGGTAGACTATTGATGGGGACTAGCAAAATACATTCAATGAAAGCCACCTAATTGTCACAAACTTTGATTTTTCACAGGCTTTGCCAGGCAGTTGTTTACATAACACGCTTTTGATGCTGAGGACTGCTAATCCTGTCGCTTGCATTAAAATAACCTGTTACTTGGAATGCCTAATTTCCAAAGCAGCTTCTTTTCCTAATGAATTTGCTTTGTCAATATACAACAAGCTGCAGATTGGGGTGGCAAGTCTGAAGACAGGTACTTTCAGAAATTGTATTACTACTTATTACGTACGGGTAGCCTGTCTCTGAAAGCTTCAGACTTCAAGCCACCTCTGATGAACAGATGAGTCTGTTGCATAGCAGTCACTTGTCAACAAGTCGTGATGAGTAGAACAAGTAGCTTTCTCTGGATAGACATGGGTGATTATCAGGGTGTCCCTGTGAGTGCTCCACTCCAGGCTTTGGTGTGTCCCTGGAGTGGGACATTCATCTTGAAGAACCTCAGTTACGCACAGGTGAATGCCTTTCACTTCTCTTGTACAAAGGGCATCTGTCAGGAACAGCTACCTGATTCTGTCAGAGGTAGTAAGCAGAACCATTAATTAAAGTTGCTTCCTTAAGTAGTGCATTCTTCAATGATTTGGATGTGAAGCACTATACAAAAGCACTCCTCTTCTATAAACTGTGGGCCAGATTCCCACCTGTTGAAAATTGGCATTGTTCCACTGAAGTCTCTAGTGCTGCATTGATTTTCACCAGTTTAGGACCAAATCCTACAAATTTGTAACATACTGGCTAGTACAGGTGCTGCTCTTGCTAAAGATAATATAACAGTCTCACTCTTGTGTATACCTGTTCCTTCAACTGGGTCAAGTATTGAGTTTGTTACAGCCTCCTGGCTTTGGGGATAAACATAAGTTTCCTAGCTAGCAGCATGGTGAAATAGCCAAATATTGATGCACATAATTTGTTTATGCACAGACAGAAAAGCAAGAGAATAGCTGTTTCAGTCCAAGAAGGCAGCCCTTATTACTGGTAAAACCTAATATATCTAAATGTTAATAGTTCCTTTTGCTTGTGTTAAGGCTTTTGCAAAAGAAGGAGCAAAGGTCATTGCTACAGACATCAATAAATCCAAGCTGCAAGAACTGGAGGAGTATTATGGTAATGGCTTTACAACAGACCTGAGTCCAACCCTTGTATTTTGTAACATGCTTGTAGAAATTTCATCTCTGGCTAATGCAGAATTCTAAAGGCGGTGGAAACTGTAATAATAGGTACTCCATGTTGGCATCTGGTCTTTTTCTCTGCTGCCGTAGAATATGGAGCCAAGGTGTCTGAGTGGTAGCATTCCATGAAAACGTCATTTCGGGAAAGATACGCAAGGTACATGGAGTAACTCCATGCATCTGTTTTCTGTTAACTGCTCCCATTTCACTGACATGTCCAGGCCATTGGGCTGACTGACAGATTTAACTACCTCTTATTGCAGTCATGGGACTTGAGCCTTAGGATGTTTGTGCTAAAAACACGGACTTCTATCTTTTGAGCTATAGAACTCACTTCATTAGCAACACAAGAATCAAATGTAGTCCTCTGCATTTCATCTTGACCAATTAAGGCATTAATGGCATCAGTTGTTTACTATTGTGAATTGATGTATCTTTTAAATATGAATTATACTAAATCACCCTCTATGATCTGTGTATAAATTCTCAGGTCTAAATTCTCTCCCTGCTGATAATATACTCCTGGTGTGTATCAACTACTCAAGGTCTCGCACTCTCATCATTGTTATCACGCCCCCTTTTTGATTTTTGTAAAACCCTCACACCGCCCCCAAAATAGCAGCAAAACGTATTGAGCAAAAAAATAAAAAGGAACTGACCGGGGCAGCAAAACTTGATTGGGGAGGGGGGTTGCCTCGCACACACACACCCCAGAATTTCTTCATGCCCCCCAGTTTGGGAGCCCATGTCCTAGAAGAATGTGGAGATCGGCTGTGAATTTTAGTTCATTTCTTTTTGCTGTTTTCATTTCTGCCAGTAGATGGCACCCTATGCTTTCCACTTTAAGGTAACTGTCTCAGGAGGGCTACTGCAAAGTGTTTAGAAAGGAGTCCCATCAAACTCCATTTTGAAATCAACTGTGTTTGCCTGTGCATGCGAGAGGTAAATGTAAATCACACAGAAGGGGTTCTAGACAACCTTTTCAAACATTTCTGAAGATGGCTTGATAATTTTTTTCCAAAATACACATTTTTTTGTTTGTTTGTTAAGAATTATGACTAGAATAGGCTAATTCTGTGAAGACACCAGGGTCACCTCATGTACATTTTCCAACTAGCCAATATTCCCACACTATGTGCATGCCTTAAACGGTGGCAATCAGGGTACATCTAGACTGGCAGGTATTTCCGGGATACAAAAGTATCTTGGAAAAACTCCGCCGCATCCAGGGAACGCATTTGCTCTTCCGCTTTTTTGCAGAAGAGCAAATGTGCTCTTTCGAGGAGTCCTGTACACCTCGTTCTACAAGGAATAAGGGCTCCTCCAAAAGAGGAGGCTTTTCTGCCATTTGGCCCTGTCTAGACCAAATGGCAGAAAAGCCTCTTTGGGAAAAGCAATCGGAAAAAGCTACGCAAATTGCGGAGTGCAATTTGCATAGCTTTTTTTCCAAAAAATGGCGATGGTGTAGACCTAGCCTCAGATGTGTGTACTTCCTGCTATCCCATCTTGTGTAGTTATGACATCACCCCATCCAGGTAACAAGGTGACTAATGGCTTACGCAAGTCACTTATTCCTCACTAATGAGTTGCACAAGGCTGGTGAGTCATCCCCTTGGTTACAAATAAAATATTGCATGTGCTGTGATCTGTTGTTTGTGTGACCTCCATCATCATCTCATGGTACTGATTACTAGGTAGCCAAGCTGTGATGAGCGCAGGCCAATGGGCGCTTGTGGGATGATGCAATGGCTGTAATTCAGGAGGGTGATGGGTGCTTTGGTGGGTGGAGTTTCTGTGAACAGGAGTGTGTTGGAATTAACTCCGCTTTTGGGAAGACACCAGTGCACCTGCTTGGGTGGTGGCTCTTCTCTCTCAATAAAATCAGTGGTCTTTTCTAACTCCCTTCTTGGCTCTTCAATAGCACTCCCTGCTGTTGTAAAAGTACTTCAGGATTAGGACAATTTAGCCAAACTGTGTAGGGTTTTTGGGAGGAGGGGGAGTGGTAAATGGCCATGTTACTCAAGGGAATACATGTTACAGTTAAATATTCACCCCGGGAATTCCCACAGACATTGGTGGGAACTACTGGTGCGCTGCACCTCTAAAAATCAAACCAAAGCAAAATAAAACTATTTTTGCTTTATAGGCATTCAAACACGGGTGCTGGATGTCACCAACAAGGAACAAATAGAAAATCTGGCCAAGGAGATAGAAAAGATTGACGTCCTCTGCAATGTTGCAGGGTAACTAGAACCCATTGTTTAACCACCTTTCTCCTTCCAGCATTTGTTCCCCAATGGTTCTTCATTGGATTATATGCGTATCCCATCACAATGGCCTTGTTGAGAGTAAGCCAAGTAGACAAGCCATAGATTCAATGGCTATGGAGACGATATTCCCTTCTCACCGCTAGTGGCAGAGCCGGGTGGGGGATTGTGTGATCCTGTTCCGCCAAGAGAGGACTTGAGCTTCCAGAGATTTCTTTCAGGAACCCTTCATCCTCACCTCAGGATGTGTGATAAAGCCATTATGTTCTCCAGAACTGTAGAGCGTACATAATAAATTGTTTTTAACTTGAAAAAGATAAATCTTCACAAAAATAACTTCATGCTAGTGCTCACTGAAATTTTTTCAACTATCAATTTTTGACCAATTGTGATGGAGGAGGAAAGGGATCATTTCAGGGACATGCTTTTTATGACTAGTTCTGCTTATTATTAACTCTTTATCTAGCTATATGGTGGCTTACTGTGACTATCTTGGACTGCACATACTACTCCCAGGAAACTTGTGCAAGCTGAACTTTGCATTATAATCTCTGAGGAGAGTGTGGTCCAACCTTTCTTGATTGGAGGAGTAGTTATTACAAAGGAGTGGGAGGAAAAAAATAATTTATTCATAAAAGGCACAGGAAATGATCCGTTGCTTTTTGTGCACTTCATCCAGTTTTGTCCATCATGGAACCATTCTGGAGTGTGAGGAGACAGACTGGGACTTTTCCATGAACGTCAACATTCGCAGCATGTATCTAATGATCAAGACATTCCTTCCAAAGGTCAGGCTCTGTCAACGATGCTCTTTAGTTGTGTGTGTGTGTGTGTGTGTGTGTGTGTGTGTGTGTGTGTGTGTGTGTGTGTGTGTGTGTGTGTGTGTGGAGGGGGAAAGGGTTTACACTGGAGCTACTTAACATGCAACCCGTGGGCTGCATGTGGCCTGTGGCCCATTTGTTTGTGGTTTGGGTTTACATCGGGCTCAACACGTGGCCTGTGGGTGGGATCCTTTGAATGTGGCCTCCACTGGGAACATGCTCCACAACGGCGAGGCATTTCCCAAGAGGGGTGAGAATTGAAAGACACAAGCGGATAGACTGGCTGGAACTGAAGGGTACAAGGTGTTGGTGTTTCTAGCCCCCAGGGAAGAGGTTCCAGGAGCACCAGGGCATTGTGGATAGTGCTTTGTATTCATGCCCATCCGTATGCAAGGAGCTATTTGCATATATTTGCAACCACACTTATGTTGTGGCCCTCGGCACATGCTGTAATAATCATTGTGACCCCCAGGGCTTCCAAAGTTGAGTAGCCCTGGTTTCCACTCTACAATTAGTATTTACAATCATTCAGGTGCAGCACAATAAGAGTACACATGGTAAAGCAATACTCTACAACATGCACGCAGATAAGGGCTACACCATCGCTACTAACATATTTGTGAAGATTGGGATGTGATGATGATTTCTCCCCCACACTCATGGCAGGAAGCTATCAATGTAATTATCTGTTATTGAACACCACACTATATAAGGGAACACTCATCCCATTAAACAAACAACTTACCTGAGCAATTGTATCATAGCTTGATGACTAATGACTTATACCTATCATTTGTACAACTCATTAATGAGGAATAAGGTTGGCTCATAGTCCTCTTGGTTCCAGATGAAGATGAAATACTGTATGTCTGATGCAGGGATGTTAACTAATGTGTGTTTTGTGTAAATGTGTAACTGCTTGAAATTTTAGCCGTTACATGCTTATATGGGGGAAGGGGGCAGGCAGGAGCCAGTGCTCACGGGAAGCCAGCTTTCAAAGAAGCAGTAGCGCAGGGGGGCAAGCAGCTCCATGGGAGCCGACACACAGGGAGCCAGCTTCCACCTGGCCTTTCCCCACCCCCCCCACACTGCCTAACAGAGGCAACAGCTCATGGGGGAGCAGGGAATTGAGAAGACAGTGGGTGGTTGGGCTGAGGAGCTTGGGAGACATGGCTGTGTTGGGTACTTGGCAGGGAAGTTACACAGACAGCAGTGAATCAGAGGGCAGTGGTTAGAGTACTCTACGATTATACAAGTAATAGCTCACTGCCAGGTATATTTGGCAATGAATACACCCACCCTTGAATATGCTGAAGTACATGGTATAGACAGAACATGTTTGAAGGGTGTGTGCAAGTGTGTTGGCTGAGAAGCACGTGCCTTGCTATGTGTATGTGGATTTATAGTGTACAGTAGCGTATAAATCAAATGTTGCAAATGGAAACAACTGTATTAAATGTGTTAGTAAAGAAGTAAATAGCTACCCACTGATGAGCAGAACCAGGAATGATCAGTTTCTCTTGCCTTCCTCTTCCCCATCCTGCAAACTGGAATAGGAATAATCGCAGCAAATTATTAATCATCTTTCCTATCAGTTGGGTAGGTGATAAATCTGGGAGCCAAGCAAGCAGCTGGAGTGTTTTCTGTGTCCCCAGCTTCATCCCTCATTTTTAAAAAACACATATAGCCCTGTTCCTGGAAAGTGGGGACTGGAGCCGGTATCAGTCCCACAGGACTCACTAACTTCCTGCCTCTTCAGAGAAAACAGTGGAGCTTCTGAAAATAGCCCTTAAGCCATTGGAAAGGGTTGTACGCAACCTGGATCACCATCCAAAACTCGTTTCTGGTCCATGGAGGAGGAGGAAGTGGTGTATTTTGTTTCAAGTATAACTGCATTATGATTGATGACTGTAACAAGTTATAGTCAAGCACCTACAGGCCCAAAACAAGATTGGGTCTTCATTTTGCTAGGCATTGAACATGCAAGATTGGGTCTTCATTTTGCTTTGAACATACAAGTAATAAGAGACCATTCTTATCCCAAAGTGTCTAAATAGATAAAGGGCAGGAAAAAGGCTTTATGATCATCCCCTTTTCTATAGAATGGGTAAAAGACACAGATTAAATGACTTGCCCAAGGTTCCATGGTAAGTTTGTGGCAGAACCAGAAATTAGTCCCAGCTCTCTGTCCAGTGCTTTATATAAGACTATCCTTCCTCTCATTTAAAATCTTGGTCCATGTATTGAAACATTTCACTTCAGTTTTTATTCTTTTATATCAACTTTTGAATGGGCCCTTACCTGAGTGAATCTGGTGACCTAAGAATCTTTTATTGTCCCACATGTGTATTTAGGAGAAAACTGCCTCTTCTTCCAATTGGATCACAGCTTCTATCAAAGCTATTCCACAGGAGAAATAAACATTCAGGCTATGTCTAAACTGGCACCCTTTTCCGGAAATGCTTAAAAACGGAACAGTTTTCCGTTATAAGCACTTTTTCCGGAAAAGCGTCCATGGCCAATGTAGACACGCTTTTCCGCAAAAAAGCCCCGATCGTCATTTTCACGATCGGGGCTTTTTTGCTGAAAAGACTACTGTGCTGTCTACACTGGCCCTTTTCCGGAACAGTTTTTCTGGAAAAGGACTTTTGCCCGAACGGGAGCAGCATAGTTTTTCTGGAAAAACACTGACAATTTTACAGTAGGAAGTCAGTGCTTTTCTGGAAAAGCAAGCGGCCAGTGTAGACAGCTGGCAAGTTATTCCGGAAAAGCGGCTGCTTTTCCGGAATAAGTGGCCCAGTGTAGACACAGCCTCATTGTGCAGATCTCTATGTTGTAGCTACTAATTGCCCTGAGCCATTTTAGTTGTAAGAAGGGTACAGCTGTGTCAGTAACTGTACAGCATTTCCCCCTCTCTAATTGGCAGAGAATTTTTCAGGAATCTGTAGTGCTAATTGGGAGTCAGAGAAAGTGGGCGCTGTTTCTAGCTCTGGCATGGATTTTTGTGTATGATTTTTGCAGTCACTGGTCTTTTACTACTTCATCTCTAAAACACAAGCCTCGCTCAAAGGAGAGTTCTGAAGTTTAATTGTTTACAGGTAGGTGCAACATCAGTATATAGTAAAAAGTAAGTAGGTTTATTGTTGAATATGAGATCTCACAGTGTAACATCCTTACTGGCTGGGTTACTAATTCAAAGCTGTGAAACAAGAAGAGAGACTGCACTTTGGGATAATATTTGGAACCACAAGTCATGCTATCTTGTTGTGGAATAAAATATCACTTACTGTGAAGAAGGGTGGCATAACCGATCCTGACATGGCAGAATAACTTTGGTTTGAATGACTTCATGGCGGTTGTGGGGTTTTTTTGCAGATGCTCACACAGAAATCTGGAAACATTATCAACATGTCTTCTGTGGCATCCAGCATTAAAGGTAACAGACTTCTTAGAGGATTGTTTTGTCCTGTACATGCCTGCGATATCCCTAGGTCACGTCCAAGGTTCTGAACTGACAAATTATTATTCTACAGGGTCAATTTTGCAAGTGCCAATTTGAGCAGTAATGCACAAGTGCAGCCTTCTTTTGACCCCTTCTTGCATAAGTACTCTGAAAAACCAGGCCCTAGGCATCTCCAACTGGGCACCCAAAATTTAAGTGGCATTTTAGACAGCTTGGCTTTAGTTTCTGTGCTTTAGTTCCTCATATGTAAAAGCGGTGTGATACCACCTCCCTGGGTTTTGTGAAAAGAAATATTAATCCTTGTGAAGAACTAAGTTGCTGAAATGGGAGCACCATAGAAAAGCCCCCAAAGAAATGACGAATTCTGTGGTCAGTGCAGGTGTGCATGATACACAGTAAATAAGGCATGGGGCCATGGGTTGGAAAGATGGGGATTAAAGGAATGTGGAATAGCTGCCCATCCAGTGAGCACTGTGCCATGAATGATACAAGGGTACTGTGTGGGGGGAGGGGGAGGAGTATGTGGTCATGTAATTACAGATCATATAATGAATATGCACAATGGAGGGAAGAGTGTTACCCAAGCAATGCTGATTGATGAGATGAATTGCCTCATTTAGTAGTACCATGCCAGTACTTTTTCTGGCTTTTCACTGCTTCGTTAGTCCCATCTGCACAAGGGCTACCCCACAAGAGTTTTGCATTTGAGGGGTGGACAGTTTCCCTTTATAAATCTTTATGCAATTTTAAAAATAAACATCTTAGGCTAGTGCTGTAGGTATTTTCCATCTGTGCTTTTGGTTGGTGTACTGCTGTGTCCTGGTTCTCGAGGTACACTCATGCAGATGCTGTTGTGTAGCAATCATCACACTAGGCAGATTGTCATTCATGCTCTGTTCAAGAAGATGCCGTCCAGAAAATTCTAGCGCCCAAAAGCTGATCCTTATGGCATGTGACCATTTTCTTTGATTTTAGAGGGATTCTATTTTTGTTACCCTGACACTAACCACTTCCTTCAGGAGTTGTGAACAGATGTGTCTATAGCACTTCAAAGGCAGCAGTTATTGGTCTAACTAAGTCTGTAGCGGCCGACTTCATTGAACAGGGAATCAGATGCAACTGCATATGTCCTGGTAAGTAAATTCTTGGAGCATTTCCGTGGAGCTGGCATGGAAAACACAGGTTTGTCTTCAGCATTCTCTCCACGCTGTACACACCACTTGGCTGATTTAATGCTTCAGATTTAGTCTGAGGTTGTTGATAGAAAATAAAATTTGAAAACAGCCCAACCACCCACAAACAGCTGCTGAAGTCAATCCGCAGTCAAGGGAGAAACCATATTTAAGACTTCCTTCTGGCATTTCCTGACATGTAAAATGAAGAACTGCTTTTTGTATAGCATTCCAATCTCCGTGGCCTATAAAAGCACTCCTACGTATGCCTAGTGTATCACAAGGGTGTATTGTACTAGGGAGGTAAGCGGTTAGTCAATAAGCATATGATTATCAGATAGTCAACTAGTGACTCAACTTGTTGCTCTCCCTCCCGCTTGCTGCCTTTGTCAGAGGCAGTGGCGGGGGGCAGGGGAAGGAGGCAGGAGCTGGTGTTGGGGGAATCAGGATTCCACCAGCACTGTCTCTGTCGGGGAGAAGGGAAGGGGTGCATTGGAGAACTGGCAGTGCTCCCACCTTTAAAATGTAGCAAGAGCCCTGCTGGCTCTTGCTACATTTCAAAGACAAAAGCACCCTTATCAACTAATCAAATAGTTGACACAAATTCCATCAACTATTCGATTAGTTCATTCATCTAAATTTAACATCCCTATACAGGCAGTCCCCGGGTTACGTACAAGATAGGGACGGTAGGTTTGTTCTTAAGTTGAATCTGTATGTAAGTCGGAACTGGCGTCAGCCGCTGCTGAAACTAATCAGTTTCAACAGTGGCTGAATCTGGACACCAGTTCTGACTTACATACAGATTCAACTTAAGAACCCCAGGCATCCCCAAGTCAGCTGCCGCTGAAACTGATCAGCGGCTGATTCCAGGAAGCCTGGGGCAGAGCAACTCTGCCTCGGGCTTCCTGTAGTCAGCCGCTGGTCAGTTTCAGCAGCGGCTGACTTGGAGACGCCTGGGGCAGAGCAACTGGGGTGCTGCTGGGTTGCTCCAGTAGCGCCGAGGAGCCGCGCTACTGGAGCAACCCAGCAGCACCCCAGCTGCTCTACCCTAGAGATAGGCAAGAAAAGCCTGGTCTGCTGTGGGGGGGCACTAGCTGCACCCTCCCCCCCCAGCAGACCAGGGGGACAGGAGCAAAGCCGCCCAGGCGGCGGGAGTCCCGCTGCCTGGGCGGCTTTGCTCGGGTGTCCCTGGTCTGCTGGGGGGTGTCCAGTGTCTTTGCTGGACCCCCCCAGCAGACCAGGGGGACAGGAGCAAAGCCGCCCAGGCGGCGGGAGTCCCGCTGCCTGGGCGGCTTTGCTCGGGTGTCCCTGGTCTGCTGGGGGGTGTCCAGTGTCTTTGCTGGACCCCCCCAGCAGACCAGGGGGACAGGAGCAAAGCCGCCCAGGCGGCGGGAGTCCCGCTGCCTGGGCGGCTTTGCTCGGGTGTCCCTGGTCTGCTGGGGGGTGTCCAGTGTCTTTGCTGGACCCCCCCAGCAGACCAGGGGGACAGGAGCAAAGCCGCCCAGGCGGCGGGAGTCCCGCTGCCTGGGCGGCTTTGCTCGGGTGTCCCTGGTCTGCTGGGGGGTGTCCAGTGTCTTTGCTGGACCCCCCCAGCAGACCAGGGGGACAGGAGCAAAGCCGCCCAGGCGGCGGGAGTCCCGCTGCCTGGGCGGCTTTGCTCGGGTGTCCCTGGTCTGCTGGGGGGTGTCCAGTGTCTTTGCTGGACCCCCCCAGCAGACCAGGGGGACAGGAGCAAAGCCGCCCAGGCGGCGGGAGTCCCGCTGCCTGGGCGGCTTTGCTCGGGTGTCCCTGGTCTGCTGGGGGGTGTCCAGTGTCTTTGCTGGACCCCCCCAGCAGACCAGGGAGACTGGGAGCAGCTTTTCTCACCCTGGAGGACACGGGTGGCAACCCACCGCCCGTGAGCTCCGGGGTGAGAAAAGCCCCGTTCATAAGTGCGGATCCGACATAAGTCGGATCTGCGTAAGTCGGGGACTGCCTGTATTGTACCAGTTGTTATCTGGACATGAAAGTTGCAGCTTAGAGAAGGAGATGGGGGAGGAAGTGGTGCTTTCAGTAGCTGATTAAGAATGCTGAATATGACTACTTCATTCCTGATGGCTTGCTACCACGAGACAAAGCTGGAGGCAATTCTACTCCTGGGTGATATAAAATCCAATGAAGGACGGCTGGCATGCTAGGTCAGAGTATATTGATGTCAGTATGGCAGCAGCAATCACAAGAATACATACCACAGGTGTGTCTATGCACACCTACAAAATCTAACCTGGTTTTCATATTTAAGCATCAAATTTAGAGCCATGAATACATATGTCAGGGATGGTGTAGGTGGAGCTTGGTCCTGCCTTGAGGGCGGGGGGCTGGACTCGATGACCTCTTGAGGTCCCTTCCAGTCCTATTATTCTATGATTCTATGATTCTATGATATTTTAATAGTAATTTGCAGTGGGGTTTCATCAAATCCCAAACTCTGGCTAAATCGGACAAAAGACTTGACTTTCATTGGTAATGACATCTGCAGTTCCTTCTCTTTTTTTCTTCACTTGCAGTTTTAGTTGCTCAAGGCTTGTATAAGTCCATGAAGGTTCGTAAGCCACTTGTAAAACATTGGAACGGTTCTGAGTGACCTTGGACCAGTTTGGGATTTCCACCGCAGCCATGGGAAACTTAATGTCTTTTCAACTTGAAAACAGGCAAAACCTGTGTGGTTTCATTGGCATTTCCTGTAGAGTTTGGGGGTTTATTCATATGGTACTTGGGGTGAAACTCTAGGGGAGAAATCAGAAAACCTACACAACTCCTTGCAAATGAGGAATTTTGCATCCCACCACCACCTTTTAACAATGAATAAACGGATAGCATGCTTCCTGGAGTCTAGGAGCCCAGAGGAGGCAGCATGTTCAGTTGTCCCTGATGTGGAAGGAGCACCTTACATTGGTCTTAATTGCCTCTACAGCCAGCTGAAGAAACCAGCACAGATTCAAGAAAGTGTTTTGTCCTCCTGCCTTGTCTGCATTAAAGTGATTCTTTGGCAGGGAGGAACAACAGACAGGAGCAATGAAGCAATCTTGGAGGACTGCTTCTCCCTTTTGATTGGCCAAATCAAGTCCTGGAAATTTTGTGGAATGTCTTCCTCTTTGTGTGTGTGGGACACCCATTTAAAGCTGAGTAACAACCTCACAGCAAACAACACCTGAATTAGGTAACTGAGCAGCACCAGTTACAAAAACTCCTTATTAAGATCTTTTACAGCAGCAGAACTACCTTCCTCCCTGTGCTGATGCCAAGAGAGAACAATAGTTCTGCTGCTGTAGAAGTTTTTGTAACCAGGCAGAATTAAGACTTTCCATGTTTTCAACCTCTTCTGCAAGCCACATGTTGCCTCTGACAAAGATGAAGCATGAGCCTAGAATATAAAGGTGGAAGGTGTCCTTAGAGAGATTTTCAAGTAATGCCTGGCTACTTCATTACAACACTGATTTTTTTTTTCCCCACTTCATTTCATTTCTTCCTACTCACACCAACATTGCAGGAAAATAAAATACTGCACAAATGAAGGACCTTCTCCAAAATCCTTTGCAATTAAAAACTAATCTCAAGCTAGTGCTTGCCTGTCCACCCCTTCAGCTCTAAGTGAAACCCCATCTCTTGTGCTGATCTTTCTCCACGTAGGTGCCTAGTAGGGATGTAAAAGGTTGACTGGTAAGCATCACCCTAAGCAGGTGATGCTTACCGGTTCTGGTTAACCGGTACAGGTCAGAGCAGCTCCTCACCAACTGGGAGGGGGGGTGTTCCAGCCCCATAGGGTCTGCCCTAGGCCATCTGGAGCAGCCTCAGTCTGTGGCGGGCCTGGGCACGTCCCAGGCAGGGGCTGCTCGGGCCAGACTAAAACAGCTCCAGTCTTCCCCCATCCGCCCCTGCTGTTAATTAACTGGTTAAACATCCCATTTAACTGGCTACCCAATAAAATGGGATTTTATATCTTTAGTTCCTAGTCACTGCACTAAAATGAAAGGATACCTGGGATAGGAAACTAAAAAGCCATGTTGTATGACAACACTACCTCCCGAAGCCAAGAGAATGGCACAATCTATCTCTGAACTATTGATTTGTATTCTAATTTGTCAATGTTCAGCGGCATGGAACAAAGCAGCATTACCTGTCCCTGGTGGGGAGCAGCACACTAAAGCTGCTTAAGGAAGTGAGCTGCCATGAAAATACTTGATAATAAATCTTCTAGGGTCTTCCTGTGTAGATTAGTATCCATAGAAAGAAAAGTTATTTTTTGTCACTATCTGGAATAGTGGGGCACTTTTTAAACATTTTTCCATTTCCATTTACGTGTTAGCACACCAGGGAAGGGATGTTGGGGTTTTTATTAATGGTGGATAATGTCTTTTCAAAAGCATCTCTGTGACTTAAGCTACTAAGTTCCATTTTCAGAAAATAACTCAACCACTTAAGAGTCTGTCTCATTGAAAATTCATGGGATTTAGAGTCCTAATTCATTAAGATCTTTTTGAAAACTTTATACCAATTTTGTTAAGTCCTGTATGGCCATGGCAGCATATAAATGGTGATAAAGTCCTTTACCACGGAGTATTTGTGGTAAATTCTGAACATCTGTTTAGGAACTGTTGACACTCCATCTCTACAAGAGAGAATCCAAGCCAGGCCTAACCCAGAACAGGTAAGCAGGCTTTTTAATTTGTATTTGTACACGTGCACAGTTATGTTAAAGAATTTGGGGAAAACAGAACAGCATGTCTGCCTAAATCTCAGCATTGATGGCTAGCTATAGCAGTGATTATGCAATGGCAGCTTGTTTACCTGGTGCCCAGAATGGCATCTGCGGTCCTTCCATGACACTATGCTAAAGAAACCCACAATGGCTTTTGTTCTGAAGCCTTCACGAATGATTTATAGTCCTATATCTATAGCAGCAATTTGATACAGCCATTTTGGGGCACATGGCAGCAATAAGCTGATGTGCAGTAAACAACACACACAGTGAAGGTGAGGAATGTGTTGGCAAACAGATGATGAATTTTTAGGTTCTCATCTGTAAGGCCCCTGCAAAAAATTCTGTCTGCTGCAAACACAGAAATGGCTGAGCCGACCTTACTAGAATTTAAAGCTCTGGTTCTTGGGTACTGAAGTGTTTTGCAACCCCAGAACTTAGACCACGAACAGTTGCACCGGGATAAAAGACCCTCAATGTGGCCATGGCTGGCTAGGGTCATTTGACCTGGGCTCACAGTGTCATAGAGCTTGGGGTCCAGCGCAAGACTAGACAGTTTGTTTTGTTTTAATCTCTGTGAAGGTATATCCAAAATCACCCTGCCAATGTTTTTCTTTGGGCATCAAATGTACTATCTGTGTAGTAAACATGTTATAAGCTTGTGGCCCACTGACCACATGGCTTTTTATGACGCACAAAACAATCATGTCTACATATGTCAGTGTGTGATGGTGAGGCATGGAATGTTCTGGTATCTGCAGGCACTGGAAGACTTTCTGGCTAGACAGAAAACTGGAAGGATGGCTACTGCTGAGGAAGTGGCCCAGCTCTTTGTGTATCTGGCCTCTGATGAAGTAAGTGCTGTGCAAACAAAACCTAGCCCCATCCTGTGGCTTCTCTGTAGATGGAAGCTATTCCGTAGGCACTTACACTGTCTTGGAGACCGATTACTGCAGCAACAGAAGACTGACATACTTGGACACTAGCCCAAAAGATGAACAGTGAGTTATTTCTGGGCAGTGACAATGAAGGCTAAGTCATTAATTACCGAGGGCCACATTCTGGATTCTGCATGCATTCTGAACATGTTGGCTGCATGCTGCACAGTTCTGCAGGTGCTGGGAGCTATGGAGTCCTTTCCCACTGTCCCCACAATGTTACTTGGTTTCTACCACAAGTGACACCATTTTTGGTATGATGGGATCAGATGTTCTGTAACAAAACAGTTGGGTGAGACAGTTAAATCTCTCATGAAGGATAAACACAACCAAGAATAGTTATAGCTTTTCGGCCATAATCATCCTGCAAACAATCAAAGATCAGAAGCCAAGTGATGATGTGAAATGAAGATGCAGGAACATAGCTGAACCACAAATCCTCCCCAGTCTAGACAGGCTACATCCAGAGTGTATAGTAAGGGCACACAGGACATACAGTGGAGCCAGCAAAGTTATCCATATGCCTGATTGCCCAAGCCTGAGCACAAACAGTACCAACACCAATTTAGCAGCACGCATCCTTCACATTTGATATAATATGCTACATACACATTGTAAATATAAAATAGGACTAAATCCGATTAAATTGCCGGTAGTCAGGACAGTCTTAATGACTCCACTGGGTCACAAGGAGTAAGGGAAGTCAACCGGAGAGTTTTCCCTGTCAACCTACTGCAGCGGGGATGCCATGGAAATTCGACCTAATGTATGTCAACTCCAGCATGCGAGTCACATACTGGAATTGTGGCACTTAAGTTGACTTTCTCCCCTAATGTAGACCTGCCGGCCTGTATGCAGGGGGGTGCAAAGAGTGCGAATACACCCGCCCATTGTCTCCCCCCCCCCCCCCCCAAGTCAGCATGCCATCAATAAAGAAAACATGGTAACCTTTTGTATTGGACATACATTAATATTTTATTTTATTAAAATGAAGTTTTATTAATTAACATGAAAAAGTTAAAGCGCTTAGTCTGTTTAAAAAATTCAGTTAATATTTCCTTTCTCATGGGTTACATTAAATTGTTCTAACTACAGCACTCACAAAATGGCTCGGGTGTAATTATGTAATTGACGGCAAGTTTCCATTAGCAACTGGTGGTCTACGGAAAGGCTTGTGTTGAACCAGATGGGCCATGGGCCAAAAAGTTTGAGAACCACTGTGTTAGGGGGATGGGAGCGTTCTGTGTTGTGGGGACAGATGGATGGGTGGGGCTGGTGGCAGCATGGCAGGGCCAGGGGAATGGTGCCCTCACCCGTGAAGAGTGGCCCGGGCCCAGACCCTATACTGTCCAAAAGCCCTGCCTGAACTCACCTGGTGCTGGCCTCTCCAAGCAAGTAAAGCAGCAGCAGGCAGTAGTGGCTTAGGGAGCAGGGAGGGCCATAGCAGCTGTGTTCTTTGTCATGATCCCAGAAGGTAATTTCTGTAGAACCTTTATTATGTATACATTTTTAGTATGTCATAACAAAATCATTTTAGCAATAACTTCTTCCACTCAATTTTTTCCATTAACTTCTCTTATGCACATTTATTGCATGACTATTTTGAACTCCTTTATATTTTAAAAAATTGCAGTCCACATCTAGAAAAAAAGCAGCCCCCTCACAGAAATTCCTGCATGTGGGCCTGAAAATAATTTATTCCTATTACACTGATTCCGAATAATTAGAAAAGTGTCTTTATTTGCTCAGATTAGAGAGATACTTGTTTATAATTCTTGTGATGGCAGCCAACAAATGTGCTCTCTTTTCTATGGTTGCAAAAACTAATACCATCATCAGAAACAGGGGTGACCAGAATAAAAGTATGAAGAGAAATCAGGCCACTTTCTGCCTGTATTATATTAACTGATGCAATTGAGGAGACATGCTAGTGCTGGCCTAGCCATGCGGGCAGAGACGGCCGAGGGAACAGGGGGCCATCATCTACCTGCATGCTCCCAGAAGGTAATTTCTATAAAATCTTTATTACTGTATAAATGTTTAGTATGTTATAACAATCATTTTATCAATCACTGTTTCCACCCAAACTTTTCAGTACCTTCTTATGCACACTCCTCGTGTGACTATTTTGAGCTCCTTTATACTTAGAAAAATTGCAGTTCACATGTACAAAAAAGTGCCCCCTCCACACACAGAAATTCCTGCTTATGGGCCAGACCTGGCCTAACTTACTAACCAGGTCAGACCCTGCTTGTACTACAAGAACTAATCATCTCTCAATGCTAAATGATATGGCTGCAGTCCTGATGTTATAACTTTGCCTTGTGAATATTCGTGTGGTCCCTCCATGACACATTTGTGCCTACCCACTGTAAGTCAAAATTCCTAAAGCCAGCTGGTTATTTGTGACTTAACCACAGCCCACAGAGGTAGCTAAATGGCTTTAGTTTATAAGTTATTCATCTATGAAATGTTCAGAGCCCCCATTGTATTTGTGGAGATTAAATCCTATCTGTAAATAGAAGAAATGCTTTTGTTAAATGAACCTCAATAATTGTTTGCATTTTTCTCTGTTTATTAGTAATAAATGCTGGTTAATCTTCCTCTTATGATTTCAGTCTGCCTACATGACGGGCAATCAACTTATCATTGATGGAGGCTGGAGCTTGTGATTTGCGAAACTTTCTGCTGAAGTTTTCAATGGAAAATGTATAATGGGGAAAAGCAAATGAGGAACAGATGACATTTCTCTCACATAGTTTGCACTATTTTAATGACTAAAACGATTGAGCGCCAAATAAAAGTCAGTGTATAGCACAGACATGCGATACCTCTATTTCTGAACTCCATTGTCTGGTTTTTCTCTTGCATACTTTACACAGTAGTGTAATGCTAGCAATAAAGCCCATTTCATTCAACTTTGTTTTCTGTGGCAGCTCAGCCACATGAAGAAGAGCAATTGGACATTTAAGATGGATCAACAACATTATATGTAGAACAACATGTGAGCGTCACTTGCTCTTGGTGTCTGCATCATTGGGAAACTGAAAGCCCTCATCAGGATTTTCCTAGTAGCCTTGGGCAATGGAGGAATCAGGCTGCATTTG